AAATGGACATCCTGTATTTAATCTGGCAACTGTTTCATCAGATTGAGGATCAAGTGTCTCTCCGTGGCTCTCCTGTCGCTTCCCTGTGATGGAATAGGCTACAGCTGCTGGTGAAACCAGCCCAAAGAGGGTTTGTGTTTTTCGGACAGAGCCACCTGCTGCCCCTGAGCTCACTTGGCAGCCTTCACTTCACTGGATGGACTTGGCTTGTGTTCATATTGGTTCTCTTGCTGGCTCTCTGTGCTTTTCTTTGTCTGTCTGTCTGTCTCTCTTTCTCTCGTGCTTTCTTCTATGCCATCCTTCTTGTGGGGATTCTTAAAGGCAGAAACTGGCAGAGTGATGGGGGTGGGCCAGGGAAAAAGCGTGTTCCTAGCAGTCCAGAGGGCTGGCCTCACAGTGTCTGCAGGGAAGAACTGCAATAGGGCCGAGGATGGTGCAGGGGTCCCCGGCGGCTGGCTGCGCATTATGAAAAGGGTAACATTTGCCTTGGAGAATGCACCTCCCAGGGCTGGGCTGGGAGCTTTCATGGGCCTGGTTTGCATGGGGGTTGGAGTCCATCGTGTTGCTGGCTTGAAGGAGGCTGACATCACTTGGTCTCTGATGCTGACAGAGGGGGCCGCTGCCATGGACTTCAGCCTGTCTTAAGGGGCAGACAGAGTCGGAGCAATCAAAGGCCTTCTGGAGACTTGGACCTGACATCCTCCTAACTGGCCCTGTTTGGCCCTCTCTCTTGCCAAGGCCACTTTGACGCTGAGAACGGAGAAATGCAGGAACAGAAGGCCTACCATGGCCCTTCCCTTTCCCTGCCTCTCTGCTGGCTGCTGGGCCCGGGCCTACCTCCTCTCTTCCCTGTGCTCTGAACGGAGCCGGTGGGCCGGCTTACAGGAAGTAGGCCATGGCCTTCGAGGGGTCTGGCAAAGGAGCCTTGTGCATGTTGCCTGGCTTCGGGGGCCTGTATTCCTCTTTCGGTGTCCTCAGAGTGACATGGAGAGTGGGGTAGGGAGGCCATCGTGCACCTGGGGCCGGCAGGGTGACTCTGGAGCCTCGTGGTGAGGGACAGGGTGAGGCAGCCGTCTCTCCCGGGTTGCCTTGAATGGGACGCAGACCCACCTAACCAGGTTGAACAGGTATTTCTTCTTCTCTGCTGGACACAAGAAACACTGTTCCCTGTTTGCACTTGCCGGTGCTTTGCAGGCACAGTGCTGGGGACAAGATGTCCCGATAGAGAAGGAAGACGAGGTGACTCCTCCTCTAAGTGCCCCAGCTATCTCACGTAGCCCCATGAGGGAGATGGGCAGGCATGGCTCACCCAGTTTGAGAACTGGGGACACAGCTCAGAGCCATGACAGGCCTGCCCAAGGTCACTCAGTGGTGAGTGATAGAGAATGGCCACGGGACAGGTACTCTCTCTTCTCCCAGCAGCTGGATGTGCCCTTCTCCCTACCCTCAGTTGGGGCTCCTTCACCTTCTAGTTTCCGGCTTCCTTTTCTCTCATCTCTCACCCAGTGGCCTTGTCTCTCTTCGTGGACAGTCACATTCTCCTTGCTCATGCTTTGCGCCTCCTCCAGCCCGTGGGGCCCAGTGACATTTTGAGAGGCCTCGTGGATGGTGGGGCCAGGCAAGATCCTCAAGGTTCCTGGTGTCAGTGAGTGGAGAACTCACTTCGCAGAAGGGAAGGAGGCCCCGTGTACCCACGGGGAGGGGAACTGCCTGGGAGGCTCCCCTCAGTTCTCCTGCAGTAGGCAGTGTGCTTCTCATCAAGCCCTGGGTCCTGGCCTGGTGGCCGTTCTGCCCTGACCCCCTGAGCTGGGATTTCCCTTCTGACATTGCACTGACACGCAGACCCTTCCCATCCTTTGTCAGTCACGTGGCAGGGGCTCAATACGTGTTTAGGGGAAGGATGAGGAAATCAGTAAAGTCTGCCACTCTGGGAACATACGTTCCAGTTGGAGAGACCAAATAGGGTGGTATCAGTGAGTCTCTCTACAGTTCAGTATGAATTGCATGGTCCAGACTCTCTGTGTAGCTGGACTATGGAGACGGGAGAAATCCACACAGCGGGGTGCTCAGAAAGGGCTTCAGGGGGAAGGGCTGCAGGTGGGCCTTGGGGAGGTGCTGAGAGAGAGTCAGGCCTTAGTGTGATCAAGTGGCATAGGAATGCACTCCTGTATTTAGGCTAAGAGATGACCTGAATGCCTCTTTGGTGGGGAGGAGATGGAAACTAGGGGCTTGGCTTGTTATCCAGTAGCTTCCTTGCTCACACCCCGCAGGAGCTCTGTTCTGGCTTTATGCTGCCCACCTGCAGCACTCCTTAGCGTTGGGCCTGACCATGTGCCCTGGGCTCCTGGCCAAAGCGACCAGTGAAGTCCCTGAAGGGGCTGTAAGAGTTTCCTGTGGCCACTGTCACAAAGTCCCACAAGCTGGGAGGCTTAAAAGAGAAATTTAATCTCTCACAGTTCTGGAGGCCAGTAGCCTAAATCAAGGTGTCGGCAGGGCCGTGCTCCCTCGAAAGCCTCGAAGGAAGAATGTGTTCCGCGCCTCTCTCTTAGCTGCTTGTGTTGCCTGCAGTCCTTGGCCTTCTGGGCTTGCAGGTGTGTCCCTCTGTCTCACTATGTCTGTGTCCCTTTCCCCTTTCTTATAAGGACAGCTGTCATTGGCTTGAGGGCCCACCCTCATCCACTCTGCCCTCACCTTGCTTGCACCTGCAAGGAGCTCATTCCGAAGTAAGGTCCCATCACTGGTACTTGGGAGTCAGGATGCACTTCAGCCCACAGCATGTGCCTAGAGCTGTTGTTTCACTTGCCTCCAAATCCCTCTACCTAGTAAAGTCTCTGCCGCCCCCCTCAAGTCTCTGGGGGACTGGGGTGTGGGCAGAAGCCACCCCACTCATGCTGTCAGAGCGCCTTTGTGCACGTGCAGGGCACACAGTAGGACGGACGCTCTTGCCGTTCAAGACCAGGTCTTACTCTGCAGGGGCTGAAGCCTTGGATAGAAATGCTGCTTCTCCCGGTTTCAGGGCTGGGTGGTGAGGAGTAGACGGTGTCTTTCTGGGCAGGAGTGAGAGGGAAGACAACTGCAGATTTCCTTTTCTCAGGGATGCAGGATGTTGGCTGTGGAAGGACCCTTCAAGGGCCTCTGCGTGGGAGCAGTGAGACCTGCCGGAAAGGGCCCCCACCCTGTCCTTAGTTCTGGGGCAGAGCCTGGCCCCCCTGCTCAGGAGCTCTGTGATCTTGGGCAAGTAGCTTCTCTGAGTCTCAGCTTCCTCCTCTGTAATGTGGGATAGTAACAACAATTGCTTGTCACATCTCAAAAGAGTTCAGATCTCAGTGTTTGTGAGGATTGAATGATAAATGGATGAATGAGGAAGTATCTTTTCTTAAATCATTTTTTTATGGTGGTAAATTATACATTGCATAAAGCTTCCCACTTTAACTATTTTTGAGCATGCAGCTCAGTGGCATTAAGTATATTCACGTTGTTGTGCTACCAACATCACCATCCCTCTCCAGAACTTGTTCATCTGCCCAGACTGTGAAAATGTCTTTACGAAGAACACTTTCTATTCACTTGATAAATAAGGAAACTGAGTCCCAGAGATGTAAGGGTTTGCCCGAGTCACCCCATGAATTAGGGGTACAGCTGAAGTGAGAACCCTGGTCCCCGGCCAGTTAGGTTGGTGCTCATCTTCTGTCTCCCACACCTCTGTGTGAGGCATCCTTGGGTTGAATTCCTCTGGAGAGCTTCCTCTCCCCCAAACCGCACCCCAGGACAAACCAGAACGTGTCCCGTGGTGGGACACACACAGCTGTCTGCTCTGAGGGTGTACCTCTCAACCTCTTGTCTCTACCTACTCCTTTCTCAGATGGGACAGAGCTCCAGTGGAGGACCAGGGGGGCTGAATTTGGGGCACCCTTTGGGATGGCTTCATGAGGTTACCTTATGGTGTGGAGAGAGTGGGGGCAGGGAGTCAAGGGCTGGGTTCTGGCCCTTCCTGTAGCTACCACAGCCTTCTCACTGAGCACCTATTTGTTGAGGTCCTACTGTATGCCCATCATTGGGAAAATACCAGTGAACAAGACCTTATTCCTCCCTGCTTGGAGCTGCTATGAGACACAAATGGTATGATACATGAGGACCCCATGGCAAAGGGCACTCATCTATAGGAAGTGATGACAGGGCGTGGGGGGGAGGTGAAATGGCCGTCCCCACCCTGATGGGAGCCGGGTGCTGGGGAATGTTAGACTTCGGTGCCCTGGGCTCCATGGGACCTTCCACATCAGGTGCTGGATACAGACCCGGGTCAGAGAGCATCTGCCTTCAGGCGGCTCATGGTCAAGGACGGAGGTGCCCAGGTGGTTATGAAGCAGTATCATGGGTGCCAACAGAGGGGAAGGGGTGACGGCAGGTGATGTCACCAGGGGAAGAAAGGGCTGATTCTGCCCTCGTGGGACAGGGAAGTAGGGGGAGGGCCAGTAGGGGAGGCTTTGCTCTGACCCGATTCAGAAGAGGCCAGTCAAGAAAGCCCACAGGTGTCTCACCCTAGGGGATCTTTTTTTTTTTTTTTTACCTGCCTGGGGGCTGGCTCCTGTGACCCTCAGATGGATCCTGTGAGGTGGCACATTTTGCGGGCAGGAAGAGTGATGTGTTGAAGGCCTTGGGCAGGAGTGCGGCCAAGCAGAGAGCAGAGCCCACTTTTCTGCCTCGGTCCCGGGCATTCTTGGCAAACCCACCCCAGGTTTTCTCTGTGCTCCTCTGACTGAAAGGTCCAGCCAGAGCCCACCATGCCTCAGCTGTGTCCCTGGCTCTCCAGGAAGTCCTGCCCTCAAGGAGCTCCCAGCCCGAACCCCCCAAAGCCTTGGGTCCCCCCATATTTGTCCTCTCCACCTTCCTAGCTTCTTCCCACCCTGGGGACCTGCGGGGAGGAGCCGCCCCATCGCAGACAGGGTGGGAAGACAGCCAGACTAACCGGTTCTCTCTGTTTGGTCTTCTCCTGACACCAGGTCCCGGCTGGCTGACTTCCACGCCAATTGTCGTGCCTCCTACCAGACGCTCACCAGCTGCCCTGCCGACAATTACCAGGCGTGTCTGGGCTCATACGCTGGCATGATTGGTAAGCCGCCCCCGTGTACCTGGGCTCGGGGTGCCTCCTGGTTGCCTGCTCCCCTCTCCCCGTGGACAGGGTGCCCGGCTCAGGGCCAGAGGGTGGACAACCTGAGCTCACTCTTCTCTGCAGTGGGAAAGCAGAAGAGAGGTCAGCCCTTGATCCTGGGTGGAGGGGTACCCTGGGGTCTTATAAGGCTTTTGAAATGAGAAATTAATGTTTATTGCATGGTTCAGACATTCCAGGTACTGCACTGAGCTGTATATACCGACTGTCTTATTTTAATTCTCACACCAGTGCTTGCTAGGGAGAGGTTGGTATCTCCATCCTATAGATGGGGAAACTGAGGCTTAGAGAGGTTGAGTAACTTGCGCAGGTTCACCCAGCTAGTAAATGTTGGCTTTGGGATCTACATCCAGGATGGGGACCTTAGTCTCCCTGGCTCTAGACCACACGCTCTGCTGGTGAAGAATGCAAAGGCCCACACTCCAGGAAGCAGGGCAGGGGAGGCTCCTGGATACCTCCTCTGCTGTCTTGCTCTGTCCTCGGTGTCCACACCCCTCTGCCCCCTGTGGTCATGGTCCCCTGGTCGCAGGGCTAGTCATGCTCAGAGTATGTTTGTGAGTTGGGCTGTCTGTGTGTGTGTGTGTGTGTGTGAGAGGGGGCAGGTCGGAGGGAGGGGGTGTTCCCTTTTAAGCTGCTTCTCTGTCTGGGGCCCAGGGCCCAAAGAGAAGACCTCACTGTTCCTCTCTCCTTTGCCTTCCCTTTCTCCCTGCCCAGGGTTTGATATGACACCCAACTACGTGGACTCTAGCCCCACTGGCATCGTGGTGTCCCCCTGGTGCAGTTGTCGTGGGAGTGGGAACATGGAGGAGGAGTGTGAGAAGTTCCTCAGGGACTTCACTGAGAACCCGTGCCTCCGTAAGTCCTACCACCTCCTCCCCGGGCCCCTCGAGGGCCAGAGGGGCCCTGCGCAGCTGCCTTAGCCATCCCCTTCTTTCTCCGCCGGGAGGGCCAGTAGGGGAGGCTTTGCTCTGACCCGATTCAGAAGAGGCCAGTCAAGAAAGCCCACAGGTGGGGTATATGGGGCTTCCCCAGCAACCGACAGAGACCTTGGGTTTTGTGCCCTTGGAGACTCCCATCCTCCTGAATGGTCAGTAGGCCAGCCTCAGTTTACCACTGGAGGTCTTGAACCTATGTCAAGTCAGGGTCAAAAGTTTCTGGTGTGTTATCCTGACAGCTCCAGCCTTCTCAGCACTTGTCACTTGTCCCTTTAAGGATCCATTCCCCCTTAGAATTGGTGAGTTTCTTTTCAAGTCTTCGGACTGCTATTCAAAAGGCTAGAGAGAGAGGTTGGCTACAAGTCCCACCTGCCTTGATCTGCCCAGTCTGACAGCCTTGCCTCCCACCCACTTGAAAATCTCCTTCCTCCCTCCCTCTGTCCTTTCTTCCTTCCCTCCATCAGTCCATCCCCTTTTTCTTTGTAGCACTGGGGATTTAGAGAGATGAGTCACAGTGCTTGTCATTGAGAAGCTCACAGTCTCATGGAGGTACACCATCAGGGGGTCACTACGATCACAGGACAGGGTGAATGCTGCTAGGGTGGAGGTCTGCACCGGGCTCTTCAGGAGTCCAGACCGGTGATACCAGTCAGCCCAGAGAAGAAGGCCCTGGAAGCTTCTCAGAGGCTGGCGCATTGAGGGACAGTGGGCATCTGTCAGCTGACGAGGCAGGGAGGGCATGCCAGTCCACCTTGGGCAGAGGTGGCTTCTAGGAACTGCAGACCACTTAGTCTTGCTAGAGAGCGTGAGGATGCCCGGAGTTACCCGGACAGGGAGGGAGAGTCCTCCTCACGAAGGGCCTTGCAGTCCTAAAGATGTTAGGATCTTGTAGTCCTGCAGGTGGTGGAGATGGTGGTGCAGGCCACCGAAGGGGCGGCAGCAGGTGGCACTGTGCCAGACCCGCATTGCAGAAGGCCCACTCTCTGGTTCTGCTGTGGAGGGGTAGGGATGTGGTTCTGACAGGTAACCCAACACAAGTCTGCTCAGAGGGCAGAGACCTGCTCATAGAGAGGACAGTGTGATTGAAGCAGAGCAGTGGCCAGGAGGGGAGAGGGGAGATGGAGTAGATAGATCTTTAGGAGGTGGGCTTCACTGGTGGCAAGTGGGCGGTTGGGGAGGCACAGTGTGGGACCTGGGTGGGAGAGTTGACCCCTCCAAGACTGTTCACATGGCCAGAAAGCGGTGATGCAATGGGAGGAGCGATGCCTAGTTGGGGCGTAGATGTGATGACCTTGAGGTGCATCTCAGACTTAGAGGTAGAGATGTCTGTAGGCACTTTGTTCCAGGGTCAAGTCTTAGGGACAGTTTAGTCCTCAGTGCATTGGTGCTAATGGTGTGGGAGTGGGTGAGGTCACCCTGGGAGGAGGGCTGAGTCGGGGGCTCCTGGAATGCCAGCAGTGGGACCTGGAGCCAGGAGAACCTGTGCTGGAGCCAAGGGGGGTTTGGGGGGTTGGGGGATTGGTATGGGGGAGTGGTCTGCAGCACCGGGTACCCCAGGCCCAGCCTGCTGCCTCCTTCCAGGCTCTCCATATCCACTGCCCCTGTTCCCTTCCTCTTCCACATTTGTTTCTCTTGTGGTTTCTTTGTCTTCTCCAACCTCCCTCTTGCTGTTTTCTTTTCTACATGTGAGATGTCAGTAGTGTCTGAAAAGGAGTTCTGGAGAAGTTAAGTTAGGACAAGCCACAGCCTGCCCCCAGCTCTGGGTTGTTCCAGAGAAGGCGGCCTTGGGATGTGAGGGGCAGCCCCCGAGTTCTCTGCGCCTACCTGCTCTCTCCCCCAACAGGGAATGCCATCCAGGCCTTTGGCAACGGCACAGATGTGAACCTGTCCCCTAAGAACCCCTCATTCCAGGCCACGCAGGCCCCTCGGGTGGAGAAAACACCTTCTTTGCCAGATGACCTCAGCGATAGCACCAGCCTGGGGACCAGCGTCATCACCACCTGCACATCTGTCCAGGTGAGGGGATGTGGCTCTGCAGCTGGGGAAAAGGAACTGGGGCAGGCTGAGGGCCTAGAGAAGCACCATGACACCAGAGGTGGGGGTGGGACATTAGCAAACTGGGGGCCAGGGCCCGGGTACGCGAGTTCCTCCCTTTGGATCGGGACCCCGAGGCAGGGAGGAGCTGTTGGGGGCTAGTTTTTTGTGTAGACCTTCCCTAGGGATTCACCTTACAAGCGTGAAGCACCTGTTCTATCAGAGGATTGTGCTAGATGCCATGGGGCTCCAGAGAAATGTAAGGGTTACCATTACGAATCATCTGCTAATTACCAGGTATTGTACTAGCAGATTCTCTACATATTTCATTGCATTTTCACACAGTGAGGTGTTGGTCTTCTTGTTTTACTCACGGGAAACTGGCCCAGGAGGGTTAGGCAGCATATCCAAGGTCACACAGCTGGTTAGTGGAATAAGATTTAAAACCTACGTCAGACTCCAGAACCCATGATGTTCATTTGTTTGTCCATCTGTCCATCCATCCATCCACTTAGCATGTGTTATGTATGCGTTGTGTGCCAGGATGAATGTGAGATGCAAGGGAGACACTGGTGAATGAAACGGACACAGTCCTGGGTTTTGTGGCCCTTATGGTCTTGTCTGGGGTCAAACAAATCAGCGAGCATCGGGCATGGGCTGTGGTCAGTGCCACGACAGGGGACACGTGTGGCACCATGGGGGCACGTCATAGGGCTCCCCACTCAGCGTTTCTCCCTGCTGCTGACTGCCCTCAGGCCTTCGTGCCAGTGGCTACGCAGGTTCTTTGCTTAGGAGGTTGGTTCTAGTCAGAACACACACACACACACTCACACATATACCACGTACACTCACATAACACACGCGCATACATACGGACACTCACACACACACTCAACTCACTTCTCAGACACTCAACTCACGTATACACGTTCTCTCCCACAAACTCATACACACACACATACATACACTTTCTTTCACACACGCACCCCTAGAAGAGAGTGTAAAAGAGGACCTCATGCAGAATGTCAGCGCAGAGGAAGGACATCAGTGAGATTGAGAGTGGTGGGGTACAGTGGGGGAGTTGGGCCCAGAGTTGCCAAGAAGGTTGGGGGGTTCTGCAGTACAGTTGGGGGGCGGGGAGAGCAGGGCCTGGCTGTGAGGCAGTGAGGACACGGGTCTGAGGGGGTGGCCGGCTCATGGCATCCACGGGGGGTGTACAGCCGTGAGACTGTAGCCGACAGTGTCCTGCCGTGTACTTGAAATATGCTAAGAGAGTAAACCTTAGGTGTTCTCACCACAAAAAGGGAAAGAGAAGGCAAATGGTAAAGATGTGGAGAGATGGATATGTTGATTGGCTGTGAATATTTCACAGTATACGTATACGTATCTTGGGTCATCGGGTTGTACACTTTAAATATATACAATTTTTGTTGGTCAGTTATAACCTTGGTAAAGCTGGAAAAACCCCCAGTGCCAGGATGAGGACTTGATCAGGGACAGGGCCTGGGGGAGGCGTTCTGGTGCCCTGGTACCCACTGTACCGTGGGAGCAGGTGTGGGTGCCCGTCCTGGTTGGGAAGCCCACCCCCCTTCCCTCCTGGTGGGCTCCTCTGTGCTGTAACAGCTGACCTCCCGGTACCCTCGTGTCGGACTCAGGGTGGGCCCTTCCGTGCCCCGCACCCCTCCATGAGGTCACCCGTCCGGATCTGGGCTGAGGTGTTTCTGTCACCCTTGGGCAGCTCCTAATTACACTAGCCATGCGTGAGTGGCTGCCGGCAGGGGCTCGGGGCCTGCTGCACAAGTGCCACCTCAGCTTCATGCTAGAGTGCTGGGCAGCTCGTTGGTCAGGGCTGGGCTCCCTGTCAGGTGACCAGGCGCCGCCCTGGCCCCCATGTCCGTCGGGGCACCCCCAGCGTCCCTGAGTCCCTTGAGGCCGGCTTACATGGGGAGATGTGACTCAGCAGGTGGCTGCTGACCTTTCCCAGGGTGCTTGCTGTGACTCACCGTGGGTGTGGAAGAGTTCAAGGCTGTGGCCTCCTGCCCCCACTGCAGCCTGCTCAGGGCCTGATGGCTGACTCTCCCCCCCAACCCCCCACCCCCTGTTTTCCCTCAGCAGTTTGCTAAACTGTTGCCTGGTTTCTTTTAGCCTCAGCCTGGTTTTCTGCAGACTCACCATCTGGAGGCTGGTCTTACACTTGGTTTGATTCCAGTGGAGTTAATACACGATCTGCAACTCAGCTAATGTACAGGGAAATGCTTGTGCACAGAGCAGTACTCCATGCTTGCTGGGTGTTATGGATGTTGGGGGTGGGTGGCTGGGCTGGGGAGGCTGACTGGCAGGGGGCTCCCCAGGCCTGGCCCCTGTGACCGCCCATTCACAGTCTAGTGACTAAGTCACTGTGGGCAGGACAGCTGAGAATGGCCATTCCAGGAGAAAAGGAACAGATGCAGACCCTGGGGGTTGGGGTGGGGCAACCATCACGCCTGGTTCTCACTGAAGCTGAAGGGGAAGGGCCCCTGCTTCTGTTTTCATCACGATCTTCAGTGAGCACCTACTACTCTGTGCCAGATGTTGGGAGTGCAGAGTGAATAAACCCTCCTCCCTGCCCTCCTTCCAGCTGGAGGCTTGTGTGGGTGGTTTGTCCCCTCCCCAGCTTGTACCCTCTCCCTCAGCTCTGCTGGCTTGGAAGGGCTCCGTGGTGGCCTTTGTGGAGGCTTTGGGAGTGACAGTCACCCACAGCTACAGAAGGGGGTGCCTGAGTGAGGGCAGAGACAGGAGGCTGAGGCCAGGGTGGGAGGGAGGGTGGGGGGGCTGTGCACCCCACACACCCCCTGGGGAGGGAGAGGCAAGGTCACTTTACTTATTTCTGTCTTCCTCCACCTCAATAGGCCCAGGCCCTTGGGGAAGCCTTTGGGACCCCCTTCACTGACCCAGAGATGGCAGCCAGTTGGGGACCCACATAAGTGATTGAAACCCCAAAGGATAGAAGCTCGGCGAGGACAGTAACTTGTCCAGAGCCCCCAGCCCGCAGCTCCTAGACAGTCCTCTGGCTGCACTGCCTTGGATCCTCCTCCAGATCTGCTACCCTAGAGGGCTTTCCCATGGTGGGTGGCAGGGGTCTGCAGCTGGAAGAACTCTTGTCCACATCGTGGGGCCACCGAGCAAAAACATCGGTGTCCACAGAGGAGCCAGGGGCTAGGAGGCCCCCAACTTGGCCCTGTGTCTGGGTATCCTGGATGCTGTTTTGAGTCCTGTTCTGTGCTTCCACTCCTGACTGTAGCCCCCGCTCCAGGCAGCCCTGCCTGCCTGCCTGGAACTCTCTAGAACTTGGAGAAAGCATGGCAGGATCTGCAAAATGGTCTCTCCCTCTCCCTTCTGGCCTTGCCTATATGTGTGTACGTACGCACACCCCTGTGTGAGTCCCCTCCCTGATCTGAAGCCCAGCCATCCTGTCCCCTGGGGTAGGCCTGAGGGCTGTGGTGAGCAAGATGCTGGCCCGTGCACTTGTCAGTCCCTTCGAGCCAAGTGCCTGTCCTTCCTCTTTCTGCCTGGTGATTCCTGCTTGGATTCGCCTTTCGGGGTGTTCCCCCTGACTCTGCTCCTGCCTCGCCTCTCTTGAGCCCCCATCATGATGTGTTCGGCTCCCTCTTGCCGGTGCGTGTCCCTGAGGGACAGGGGCTGCCTCTCACCCTCTTTGTTGCCCTGCGTACCCTGGTGCTCAGTGCGTGGCACTGAGTGGGTGCCCCAGAGAGGCTGAGGGAGAGAACCCAGAGTCCCCAGTTCATGGGAACTTCCTGCTCCCCATTCTAGAACAGGCTCTGTGTGCGTTCTTGCTTGCAGCCAACTCTGTGCAGCTTCCCTTCTCACAGCTGCTGTCTGTGTGCCTGCCACGAGGGTAGGGAGGTGAAGAAGTCTTTCTGTGGAGGATCCATGAAGATTGTTTAGAAGGCTCTTCTGACACATGATGGGGCCTGGACCAGGGCGGTGCCATGTGGATGGGGAGGCAGCAAGATTGGCAGTGGGCTCTTGCTTTCTCTGCTCATGGTTTGTTTCCAGAGTCCTTGGCATTCCCTGTGGTTTTCTCTGGGCCAGTTTGCAGGGACCCAGCAGATCACCTGGAGTCTCACCTTTCCCGGGGCCGCAGGGCCCTGGCCACATAGTCTCCTTTGCTCTTTTTGTCTCTGCCAGCCAGTTTTGGCTCTTACCCTTGACACTTCCCATCATATGTGGGGGCATTAGAAATGCATTTGGAGGGGTTGATGCAAGCCCTGCTCATCACGCACCTACAAGAGGCTCAGCAGCCCTCAGACACTTCTCTCCCCTCCTCATGCTGCCTGCTGTCGGGATGGGTCTCTCTGCCCAGGCCCGTGGGCATCAGAGAGGCCTGGCGGTGTGTCCGACAGTTCTGATGAACTAATACGGCTCTTTTCCAAGCTTTGAAAGACTTGAATGCAGTCCTTGTTTTCTTCTGTCGCTCTAGCTTCCCTTGTAGTCGTTTATTTATTTGTCCATCAGGACCCTCATTCATTTATTCAACATAGATCCTTACTGCGTGTGACTCTGTTCCAGGCTCCGAGGCTGACCAGCTCACTTGGGCAGTACCTTGGCCCCATGCTGGTAGGGTGGGCACAATGCATGCTCCGATAGCTGGGGGAGGAAGCTGTCGGCACACCAGGACGACTGAGAAAGTGACGTGGGATCCAGAGGAGGGAGGGCTGCTTTGGACTGGGAGTGGAAGCCGAGGACGCATGGGCCGAGTTAACCCCGCTGCTAGGCCTGGGAGAACAGGGAGGGCTGAGTATGTGGCGCTGTGGAATTGGAGCGGAGTGGGTGGGGGTGTCCAGGCGGAGGGGCATGTGGGAGCGAGGGCTCGTAGTCAGCATAGCACAGAACAGGTCCAGTAAGGAATCTGGCCTGCTGCCTGTTGGGATAAATCAAGTTTTATTGGAACACAGTCACACCCCATTGTTTGCGTATTATCCATGTGCTACAGGCAGAGTTGCCTAAAATACTAACCAGGCGCTTTGCAGAAAATGTTTGCCTGCCCCCTGGTCTAGAGGAGCCGTGGGCCCTGGGTTGGGTGAGAACACCGGGTACTTACGTGGGAAGGACGGATGTGAATGCAATCTGATGAGCAGGCTGAGATGGGGAGTGCGGAAGGGCCGCTGAGGGCCTTTGACTGGGGACTGTGGTGGTGGGAAGATGAGCCCTGTGATCTGGGAAGGCCTCTACCTGGGACCGCAGGTAGACATTGGTTGGCAAGGGAGGCACACCTGCAGACCTGTTTGATCTTTGTCACCGTTGACAGTCAAAGGTAGGCAAGATAGGAGGGCTGGATGAGGGGGTGGCAAGGAGTGGAGGGGCAGAGGAGTGAGTTACTAGGTGGGCCAGCCAGGAGGGAGGCGGCCAAGGACACTGAGATCTGGGGCTGGGGCCAGGAACAGAAGCGGAGGACCCAGTGTTGCCATGGATGCAGTACTGGGCTTGGTCCCCAGCACCTAGGCCAGACTGGTAGGGCCCTGGGACTGCCAGACCCAGCTTTGGGAGTGGGGACAGAGGTGGGCAAGGAAGAGGAGGAAGATAATAATTCCTTCCAACTGCCTGGGCAAAAACCCGTCTGGGAGAAATTTCTAGAAGGATGAACTTTGCCTTTGCTGCCATTCTCCCTGTGTCTGTGCCCCTTCCCCAGTCAGGTCTCCCAGTGCTACCTGCTACTGCATCCTTCTGGAGGCAACGTGCAGTGCAGCCAAGGGCACAAAGTCCCTGTGTTTGCCTCCATGTCAGAGGGGTTTACCATTCAAGGGTCTGCCCCCTGCTGTCCTTGCAGCGCCCACACCTGTGCCTTTGGGACACTGTAGCCGCACAGTCCCTGAGCTGGCCTTGAGGAGAGCAGAGGCTCAGAGTTGGGGTGGGGGTGGGGCAGGGGCTGAAGCAACTCACCTCTGTTCCCCTAAACTTGTTCCATAGGAGTCCAAGAAAACTGGGTGGGATGGCCATCACGGGCAGCCTTAGGGGGGCACGGCCTCAGAGGGCAGCCTGCAGCCTGGCGGATTTGGGGAGGGAGGCAGCCTCTCTTGCTCCCATATTCTTTACTGGCGCTGAGGTGACTGTGTGGATGTTTATTTCTCTCACTAGGGCGCTCGCAGGGCTGTGACTCATTCATCTTTGGAACCCCTTGCGGGAGCCTTGGGGGAAAGTTAATGGTGGGCGAGAGAGGCAGTGGATTTGAGTCACCGGTGGTTTTGCCATTAGGTAGTGGAACCTTCTCTCTGCACCTCGCCCGTAGGCTGCTTTCAGAGAAGGTCAGCTGATGGGCAAACCCCTGCCCTGCTCTGTGTGGCCACGGCTGGGTGAGGGCCTCAGGGTGGCCCCTGGGGAGATTACTGCAGCCTTCACTGTCTGCTCTGTGTCTGCTGGAAGTCAGGTGCTCCTGTCCGGCTGGGGCAGAGGCTGCTCCTCTGGGGGTAGGGGCGGGGGAAGCCCCAGGCTCCAGCTGGCCCTGGGTTGCACCTCCCAGGCCCTTCCTGGGCCCTGCCTGCATTTCTCATAGGTCCTGCTTTAGGATACAAAACTAAGCTTGGCTCAGCCTCATGCCTCATGGCATTAAGGAGCCGTTACGGGTGCGCGGAGCCTTGCTGTGCCGTGCACCCTGTCTTGTGTAGTTGTCACAGTGGGCCAGTGAGGTAGGTTGGTCTGTCCCTATTTTATGGATGACAAAACAGGTTACAGGAGATGAAGTGACTTGCCTGGGTCACTGGATGAACAAGACTCGAGCCCAGGCCTCTGGCCTCTCAGGCTCTTCCTTCCTCAGATCCAGGAGTGGTCCTGTGGGGATGGACACCAAGGATTAGGATGCTTTGGCTTAATATTTTATTTATTTATTTGACAGAGAGAGAGAGAGCACAAGCAGGGGGAGTGGCAGAGGGAGAGGGAGAAGCAGACTCCCCGCGGAGCAGGGAGCCCGACGCGGGGCTCGATCCCAGGACCCTGGGATCATGACCTGAGCCGAAGGCAGCCGCTTAACCGACTGAGCCACCCAGGCGCCCCATGGCTTAAAAGGGACAGGCTGGATGGGTCTGTGAGGATACAAGTCTGTTAGCTAGATCGCCGAGCACCCGAAGGAAGTACTTCAGGACAGCAAGAGGAAGCCCCGGATGTCACCTGGGCGTTCAGCACACGTTCAGTGTATGGCCGGCGGCCCAGAGCCCGCTGGACTGACTTGTCATTGGTTCCGAAGGACTTAGGTCAATGCTGTGGATGATGGCTGCACAGTGGGTGACATGGGGCAGGGGCACGGGTCCTAGCCCTGATCTTCACGGAGGCCAGTCCTTCTCTCCCACCAAAGTCCCTGAGGCACCTGTCAGAGACCACCCTGGGGTTGGATTGCCTTGGGAGGCAAAGCTGCCTTGGCAGCTTGCCAGGCCTCAGCTTGCCAGGGAGCTGTGGCACTTTCTCATGTTAACGTGGGTCTGATGAGAGGATGGAGATTCCTCCTCCGCAGCTCCCTCTCCTTCTCTGTTACCTTCTTCCTCCTCTGCGCCCTCCCTTCCTCTCTGTTCCTGCCCCCTTCTCCCCCTGCCCCTTCTGCTGCCACCTATCCCCCTCCCTGCTGAGTGCTCCTTGGCTCCTAGGGTATGCCTCTCCTTTTTCTCTCTACTCTCTTCCTCTCTCACTGACTTCTTTCCTCCTGCTCCTGCCCCCCCTCCTTTTTCCTCAAATATTTGCCACCAGACCCCTCTCCTCTCTGCTTTGAAGAGGAGCCTGTCAAGTCCACTCACTCTGAGGGGCAAATCCAGCCCCAGGCCAGTGGCTGCCAGGTGTCCACATTCAGATCTCGCCTCCTCCCTGCTGGCTGAGCCCCTGGTCCCGGTGTGCCTGTGCTCCCCGGGCTTCCCCCCGCGTGGGGTGACCTGGGGCGCCACCCTCCAGAGCCAGCGGTGGCCGCGCCTATGCAGAGGACCCTCACAACTGGCGTCCCAGCACGGCAGCTTGCCAGGCCTCAGAGGTCACTTAGTTTAGTTGTCTTCTCCAACCTTATTTTTTTTCTTTTTTGAAGCTGTAGACTATTTTTAAGAATCATTTTTCTGTGTAACTCCAACATATAAAACCAAAACAGACTCGCTTTGGTTGGAGTGGGGGTGAGGACGTTGATCCTGACTCTGTTTCCACGCAGGCTGCATAGTTAGTGACACTGGGGGGAGGGGGCGCACCGGAAGAAGACCTGTGTGGAGGGGACAGAGGCCTGCCAGACCTGGAAGCAGAGACAGCGGGAAGAGAATGAATGCCGGGAGAGGCGGGGGCGGGGCCACGTGGTGCAGGATCGCACAGATGCTGCGAGTTGCTCAGAGGGGTGCCTGAGGGCGGATTGCTGAAGAGGAGGGCAGTTGGATGGAAGACCGTGGTGACAGCACAGCCCCTAGGCGGAGTGGGCAGGCTCTGTCCCGCAGTGGCCTCCCACCACCCTGGCTGGAGCTGCGCTTGGTGGGGGCGGTAGAATCCAGTCGTTGGGTTCCAGAGGGTCCTTCTGCCGGGACAAAGGTGGGTGGCTTGGCCGGGCTGGATCCTGGCACCTGAAGTCACTGGCACCATAGTCTTGGACGAGATCTTCCTGGGTCAGGCCACGGTTCCATTCCTGTTGTGCTCATCGTCACTGTGCTCACGTCTCCACCATTGGTAGAGACTTTGATTTTGGCTGGCCTCTGTGTGACAGCTGGGGCCTTGTTTGGCTGACCAGATGCCCTGGGTGGTAGATTGCCTGTGATGTTTAAGGGATTATTGATACTTCTGGCCGAGAGCAGTGATTTAGGAATAATTTCTTGGGTTTCCCGGTGCTTTTGGTGGCCAGATTCCCCGCAAGTGCCTTGGGAACCAAGCCTTTCAAAGCCAGGGTAGAAACACCATGTCCCCCAGCTGGTTCCCATGGATCATTTTTATGACCGTAACAAAGGACGGTTCCTCATGCACACCCTCTGGTCCCACATCCAAGTGGTTATGCCAGGAATAGAGAACCCTGGAATCATCAGCAAGCCAGCGTTCCTTTCTCATTCCTCGCCTTGGCCCCCGAGCTCCCAGGTGCCACCCATCTGTTCAGGGTAGACTGGCCAGCACCTGGCCCTGTTGCCTGATGTCTTCCAGTGGCAGACATAACTAATCAATTACAGTTCTCTTCCCCACAAGCCCAGACAAGGACTTAGGAGCTTTTTGGAGCTGGCACTGGGATCCCCGTTCTGATCTATGACATTCATTCATTGATTCATCCTTTTATGCATCTAGGAAAGCATTTACTGAGCTGATGTTACGGGCCAGACACTGCCCAATGCAAGGAAAAGAAGCCATGAGGAGCTCTGAGCATAATCGACAGACATGCAAATGGCTTATTACTACATAATGCCTTAAGTTGGGGAGCAGAGTTAGCAATCTCTTCTCCAGGAGCCCAGGGGAGACAGGACCTAAGTGCTGATGGTGTGAGAAGCTGCCTGGGATTCAGCCAGCATCTTCTCATGCACCTTGTGCTTAATGATGTCAGTGGTGGGTGGCAGGGCCATGAAATATTTGGTCTCATTTGAGTCATGGGACAAAGTCGGCCAGAGAGCCGGCTCTGGTGGCCCGTCCTTACTGGCACCTTCTCTTCCACAGGAACAGGGGCTGAAGGCCAATAACTCCAAAGAGTTAAGCATGTGCTTCACAGAGGTGAGTGAGGGGCAGAGTGGGGGGTGGGTGCAGGGTCCAGAAGGGGGTGTTTCTCGGGTAAGTCTCGGACTTGGAGCCCCCAGATCCCATTGCGTGGGCTGGGCTAGTTGAGCTTCTGGCCTGCCTAGATCGGGGTGGGCACTCACTCCTGGGGGTGCAGGCAGGGCTGTACCCGGGGCCCTCGGTAGTCTCCTTGGGTGAGACACAAGCAGCTGCTTGAGCAGAGGCTCTCTCAAGCCTTCCTGACTCTTCATGACACCTGTCCTGAGCACCTGTTCTATGCTGGTTTTGTGATATTGAAGAGAGAGAGAAATGGAAAAAGACACAGTCCCTTCCTCGAAGGAGGCCCAACACAGGAGTGTATCTTTGACTACATCTATAGTGTGTGTGTAGATATTTATATATGTATAAAAAGGAAAGAAAGCATAAGCTTCTCGAGGAGAGAGTTCAGACAGAGATGGGCAAGGAAGCTTCATGGAGCAGAGGGATTCAAAGTAATTTAGCAACAGGAAGAACAGAGCTTCTCCCTCCTCCTCTCAAGAAGCAGGTGCTTGGTGGACCCTGGGAACTTCTCCTTGAGATCTTAGTACCATGGCCCTCCTCTATGGTCTGTGTCCATAGACCTCCTTCCTCACCTGGCAGCATCAGCCCCTTTTCCTGGGGACTGCTGCCCTGGCTCCCGGAGCCCAGGGCTCGGCTCAGCCCCGTGGAAGCTCAGCTTCGTCTCCAGGCGAGCAGAAAGCAGGGTGCCCTGGGTGGACCGGGAGGGCAGGGGCTCGAGGACTCTCCTTCTTGAGTCCTTTTCTTTGCCTGACCCCAGGCCTGCCGACTCATTTGGTTTTCTGTCTCTCGTTGTGTCTTTGCTTCTGTCCCCCCTTGTGCCATGGCCGCAGCTCACGACCAATATCATCCCAGGGAGTAACAAGGTGATCAAACCTAACTCAGGCCCCCGCAGAGCCACACCGTCGGCTGCCTTGACCGCTGTCTCCTTCCTGATGCTGAAGCTGACCTTGTAGGCTCTGGGAACCATGTCGGGAGATTTCTGGAAACTACACAGATGAGAACACCCGCCTGGCAAAATGGAAACACACACACACACACACACACACACACCTTGCAAAAAAATTTTTGTCCCCAACCTTGTCTCTGAACCTGTCTCCTCCCAGGTTTCTTCTCTGGAGAAGTTTTTCTAAACCAAACAGACAAGCAGGCGGGCAGCCAGAGAGCTGGCCCAGAGGTCCCTCGGCAAGGGAAACCGAGTGCTGAGGAAGGACGCGAGGGTCTAGAAATGCCCTTCATTTTCTGCTGGTGTTTTCCTCTCTGTATCCTGCTGACGTAAGAGACCAAGACGACAGCCCTGCAGCCCAAGGGACTTGTGGCTGTGCTGATGCGGACTGGGGGCAGCCAGCCACCCAATCCAGGGACCTGCGGGGGGCCTGGCAGAGGGCATCGGGCAGCGGCGCAGGGAGGCTGGCTGCTGGGGGTCCAGCCGGGTACCTCGGTATCCCCACTTGGCTTTGAGGATGGAGTTTATTTCACCCTCTCTGTCTGGGTTGAGTGGGTCTGCGTCTGACCTGGGAACCCCCAGCGATGCCTGTGGAGGGTGTGGCACCGGGCTCCCCAACTGTGGCTGGAGGCGGGGCTGGGGCCAGCTCCAGGGGGCTTGGGGGCTCAGCCCTCCCAGGACATCCCCTTGGGCAGAGGGAGCAAAGCTTGGGCACCAGCTCAAGGCTGATGCTTCCTCCTCCGTGGCAGGAATTTTGAAATCAAAGAGAAATGATCCTTTGTTGGCTCTTTTGGTTTCTTGTGGGTCCATTTGGTGGGTCTCCCCCATCCCCTGCCCCAGGGAAAGGGGTCCCCGAGGGGGCAGAGAAGAGTCTGGTGGGACTCCTGCTGGCGCAGTGCTCTGGGGGCCACGGCTCCCTCTTCCTCTTTTCCACATTCTCTCATTTCCCAGGTGAACGCCAACCGTATGTACGTAACGCGACTCTTTTCTCAACATATATGTATATACACATCCGTATACATATATCGTGTGGTTTCCCGTTTTTCCTTTTTTAAAGAAGCAGAACTATGGAAATAATACCCCCACAGATGAGCGAAAATGTATTATTGTAAAGTTTATTTTTTTTAATAATGTTGTCTATAATGGGAAAAAAACGGAGATTGCCTTCCTGTGTCTCTGCCCTCGTCGGGCTGACTGGGCTGTGGAGGGGGGTTCCTGATCCGTATTCATACTTAGCCAAGGCTCCAATAAACATACTAGGAAGCAGTTTGCCTTCTGCCTCACTCCGGGCGTGCTTTCTCCCCCTATTTTGTTCTTGGCCCAGTGCCACCTCTTGGCCGCTTACCTGGGCTCTTGACGGGCCTTGCGGAGAGTGTGTGTTATGTGTGCGTGCACACGTGTCTCCATCTGTCGTGTGTCTTTGGTGTGGGTGAGGGAGCTCTTTTAGGAGATGATTTTCTACTTGGTGCATCTCTGCATCCCGGCTCTGCTGAGCCCGCTGGGCCCTTCTTCACCCATCCTCTCCCGCCCCCCGTTACCAGTCAGTGCCAATGTCCCTTGGCCCCAGCCTTGACGAGAAAGAAAGCAGACATGGGGTTGGAGGACCAGGAGACAACTTGACCTTGACGCCTCGGGTCTGTTTGGGTTTTAAGGCTGCCTGGGTGGTCCTATTAAGTGGCCCTGTTGGTGTTACGTAGAGTGAGGTGGTATATTAGTGGGACTCCTGGTTTATGTAAGGTATGTGATTGAGAAGGCAGGGACCGGGCCTTCTGGATCCCATCAGAAAAGGAAGACGACTGTGGTCCATCTCTTCTTCTCTTTTTCTCCGTTTACCGCCCAGGCTCCCCCTGGACCCTGGGCCTGCCATATTCTCCTGGAGAGATTCTCCCTGGAGGAGACTGGGAGGATGCCTGCTGGCTGAGGCTGTGCACGCACCCCCGCATGCAGGCTTGTGAGTGTTCGCATGCACACATGAGTGTGTGCCCAGGGCGGGGAGGGTGGAGGAAGACTGCCACGTGGGGGGTGTTCCCACTGTCAGGGCTGCATGTGATCCCATCCTTTCGCCACCGGGAGATGAGATGCTGTTTTTCAGTCTCCCGATTCTGGGTTCCCCCAAAAGGCTCTTGGTTCCAGTTGCAGAGACACTGGCCACCATTGGCTTATGGTGGTTGTGAGTGTGATGTACGTGTTCCAGCCTGTGCCTGGAGGGACAGTGCACCAGCCGGCTCTCTTCCCCAGCCACCACCGGTACCTTACACCGGTACTCTACACAGTACCGTAGAGGTGGCTGTGGAGTTTACTTGGGAATCCGTGTTCTTTGTGAACAGCGAAGACTGGTTAACTTAAAAGGCTTTGGGGAGAAAAGGCTCACAGAATCAGTGGAAGGTGGGGGGACCAGGGGATGCTGGGGCAGGAACCAAAGGACATCTGAAGGGACAGAAGGCATGATCTACAGGGTCAGCATGCTGCTGCCTCTTGGATGAACGACCAGTAACTGTTGTCCAACTGGCTGCAGTGGGGCCTTGTGCCTACCTCCTGCCATACTTTGGTGGGACAGGAGAATGTATCATGTCTGACATTCCTAATGTGGTTTAAGCCCTTGGCTTGCATAATGAAGGAGAGAAAATTTCCCAAAAGGAAATGGAAGTGCCATTAGGAAGGAGGAATGGATGCGGGGCAGATGTACTGTGCCTTAAAACCTCTCCCTATCCAGGTATCACGTAGCTGAAATTTTATTATTAAATATTCATTCCTTTGGTTGAGATGATTCCTGTTCTCTGTGATCCTCTCAAAATATGTAAATAACACTGGGAGGAATAAAATGCTATTCCCTTAGTGCTAATTAGGTTAATGGTTTGCATGAATCTTAGTTAACATTAAGACACTTGGGCCTAGACACTGAGATTGGGCTTGGGGGACAGTTAAGTGAAGAGGAGCAGGAACGGAACCCAGAGAAGATTGGTAGGGGCTCCGGAGATAGAGCTGAAATTATTTTAGGTTCTTCTGGGGAGAGTCAGCTGCACGAAGGATAGGCTTACTGTGCCTTTACCCAGTCAGCATAGTCTGTGCAATGTGCTTCCTTTGCCACTAGCCCCTTGGGGATTCCTGATCTGGGGCATGCATCTCTCTGCAACTAGGCCCCATACCTTGTCGAGACTGAGACCACATAGGAATGCTTCTCCCCTCCCTGGGGAAGCTTCCAGCCTGGGACAGTTTTGCTCAGTCAAGAACCCAGACATCCGCTTCCTGCCTGGCTCATGGCCTGCTGCCATCCTCTAACTAATGTAGCTGGGACCCCACTGGGACTGGACTGAAGGCCCAGGGGAGACCTGTGGTGGCGGTGGATCCAAGAAGAGGCCAGTTCAGGATCACAGAGGACTCCGCGTCAAGTGAGCTGCGCCCGGGTCCTGAGCTGACCTCAGTGGCAGGCTGCATAGCTGGACCTCTGCCTTGTTCTGAGACCAGATGCAGGGTCATTATCAGGTCCCTGCATCCCACATCCCACACCTACCTTCATAACCTGCTTGCCAACATGGGTTTCGCAGGACTGAGCCCAGCCCTGCTGTCTTGAGTCCTTTTAAGACACAAGCCCTGACTCCATCCTTAGGCCCTAGCTGGGTCCACCAGACTTTCTTGATGCCAAGCTTCTCCAGGGCTGCCAGGGTGGTCAACTGTCACCTGTGTCCTGGCTCCTGCCCACCCCCTATGCTAGTTAACTGCTGGTCACTGGGCTCCCAGGGTCCGACGGTCCACCTGTAATGGCTTAACTTCATGCCCAAGGGCCTCATGGGGGGTGGTGTGCATGCACACAAGTGTGTGTGTGCCTGTCCCTATTTCCTAGCCCTGTCCCAGGGACTGCCAAATACCTGTATAAGACAAAGACTTGCCTTTCCTCACATAAGCGCAAAGCCCCAGTGTTGCCTGGCGTGGGGGAAATGCTTTGTCAGCCTTTTCTAACTTGTGAAGTGAGTTCAAGCTCGGTCTTCCCTCTCTTGTAGACTAGGATACCAGGGGATAAAACTGGCCACACACTCCGTGTTAGTACAAATAAATGTATTCATAGCCTGTTGGCCATTCTCTTAAAGTCTCAGTGGGGAGTAGATATTTTTTAGAAATAGATTTAATTTTTTAAGGAAAAACCAAAGTCATTTGGAGCCAAAACTGGTAAAAAGTTGCTGTCAAAGTGGTGGGTTTAAAAAGGCTGGTTACTGTCATCTTGTTCAACCTTGGTTAACTCATCTACAAAGTTCGGTTAGGTGATAATGAAGGCCCTTCTCAACTCAGCATCAGCTCTGGAGGGGGAGAGAGAGACACGGACAGACAGAGGCCCACACCCGGGGCTTTTCCTGCCTGGGGAGCCACCTCGTTCTGAGCAAGGCGGGGCAGCCCCATCTGCCCACGTAGCCATTTGGTACTTCTAAGTTCAGTTGTGTTTTCTAAAAGCCCAGCCATACTATTTTCATTGTTCCACTCCTATCTTAAAACAAGTGAGTGAGTGGAAAGGGCTTTGAAATCTTTGCAAAGATGTGGTTTATAGAATCAAGGCTGTGCAGAGAAGCATCAGTTAATCAGAGCATGATTTGCCACATTCCACTTCTGGAGTGCTTTCTTGTGCTTTCTTGTGCTGCACCTTCCAGAGCACAGAAAAGGCGGTTGAACATTTTAGGAGGATTTTAATAGCATTACTCAAAACTGGAACGAAATGTGGATATTTAAAAATACGTATATGTGAGATTTAACTAATGCTTACATAGCCCCCCACCATGTGCCAGACACGGTTCCAAAATTGCGTGAACATCCATTCATTTCCTTCCAACGGGGACGCAGCGGGGCTGGCTCTGTCTCCCCATTCTGCAGACGAGCAGACTGAAGCACAGACAAGGGGCGAGCCCGCCCAAGATTGTACAGAGGGCCGGCGGCAGCGAGTGTGGATGGGCTGCCTTGTGGGTCGGGGCACGAGCCGCCGGGCCAGGCTGCTGCCGAGCGGACCCTGCACGTTTGCGCCCTGCTCTGTGCTGGCCCACAGCTGGCCTGACCAAGGCAGTCCCTTCTCTGGGGGGATCCAGGTAATCTGGGCCTCATCGCCGTGCTTGCCCTTCTCTCTCCAGCCTCCAGG